GCCTAGTATGTGGTCTATTCTGGAGAATGTGCCATGTACACTTGAGAAGAATGTGTATCCTGTTGCTTTTGGATGTAGAGTTCTATAGATGTCTATTAGGTCCATCTGTTCTAGTGTGTTGTTCAGTGCCTCTGTGTCCTTACTTATTTTCTGTCTGGTGGATCTATCCTTTGGAGTGAGTGGTGTGTTGAAGTCTCCTAGAATGAATGAATTGCATTCTATTTCCTGCTTTAGTTCTGTTAGTATCTGTTTTACTTTTGGTTGTGCTCTTGTGTTGGGTGCATATATATTTATAATGGTTATATCTTCTTGTTGGACTGACCCCTTGATCATTATGTAATGTCCTTCTTTATCTCTTGTTACTTTCTTTGTTCTGAAATCTATTTTATCTGATACTAGTACTGCAACACCTGCTTTTTCTCTCTGTTGTTTGCATGGAGTATCTTTTTCCATCCCTTGACTTTTAATCTGTGCATGTCTTTGCATTTGAGGTGATTCTCTTGTAAGCAGCTTATAGATGGGTCTTGCTTTTTTATCCATTCTATTACTCTGCATCTTTTGATTGGTGCATTCAGTCCATTTACATTTAGGGTGATTATTGAAAGATATATACTTATTACCATTGCAGGCTTTAGATTCATGGTTACCAAAGGTTCACGGTTAGCTTCTTTAGTATCTTACTGTCTAACTTAACTCACTTATTGAGCTATTATAAACACTGTTTGATGATTCTTTATTTCTCTCCCTTCTTATTCCTCCTCCTCCATTCTTCATATTTTGGGTGTTTTATTCTGTGCTCTTTTGTGTTTCCTTTAACTGCTTTCATGGGTAATTGATTTTATTTTTTGCCTTTAGTTAGGATTTGGTTGGTCTGCTTTCTTTGCTGTGATTTTATTTTCTCTGGTGACATCTATTTAGCCTTAGGAGTGCTCCCATTTAGAACAGTCTCTCTAAAACCCCCTTAGAGGTGGTTTGCATGAGGCAAATTCCCTCAATTTTTGCTTATCTGGGAATTTTTTAATCCCTCCTTCATATTTAAATGATAATCATGCTGGATACAGTATTCTTGGTTCAAGGCCCTTCTGTTTCATTGCATTAAATGTAGCATGCCATTCTCTTCTGGCCTGTAAGGTTTCTGTTGAGAAGTCTGATGATAGCCTGATGGGTTTCCCTTTGTAGGTGACCTTTCTCCTCTCTCTACTGCCCTCAAAACTCTGTCCTTGTCCTTGATCTTTGCCATTTTAATTATTATGTGTCTTGGTGTTGTCCTCCTTGGGTCTCTTCTGTTGGGAGATCTGTGGGCTTCCGTGGTCTGCGAGACTATTTCCTCTCCCAGTTTGGGGAAGTTTTCAGCAATTATTTATTCAAATACACTTTCTATCCGTTTTTTCTCTCTCTTCTTCTTCTGGTACCCCTATAATGTGGATATTGTTCCATTTGGATTGGTCATACAGTTCTCTTAATATTGTCTCATTCCTGGAGATCCTTTTATCTCTCTCTGTGTCAGCTTCTATGCATTCCTGTTTTCTGGTTTTTATTCCATCAATGGCCTCTTGCATCTCATCTATTCTGCTTTTAAATCCTTCCAGAGATGGTTTTATTTCTGTTGTCTCCCTCCCTTCTTTGTACATTAGTTCTTGTATTTTTATCTTCAGCTCCATCAGCATGGTTATGACCTTTATTTTGAATTTTTTTTCAGGAAGATTGGTTAGGTCTATCTCTCTAAGCTCCTTTTCAGAGGTTGTTTCTGTGATTTTGGTCTGGATCAAATTCTTCTGCCTTTTCATGGTAATAGAGGTAGTTGGTGGGAGCTGGCGCATATGTTGGCTCAGAGAATGTCCCTTCTTGCCAGTTTGTGGCCTTCCTCTCCTGGGAGAACAGCGACCCCTAGTGCCTTGTGCTGAGCAGCTGCACGCAGACAAGATCTCTGATTCTTGCCCAGCCACTGTGAAAGAAGCTCTGCCCTGCTGCTGTGGGATTGGCCAGCCTCAGGCTGCTGCTCTGCTGTGGTGAAGCTGCGCTGGAGGGGTAATGGGTGGGAGGCTGTTTATAGCTGTGAGGGGCCTCCGAGCTGCACTGCCACCCAGGGCATTAGGGCACCTGGTATTCCCCGGGATTCCCAGCTGCTGGGCTGTGTCCCGGGACACTTATGTTCAGCTGTGGGGTCCCTGTCCCTTTAAGACTTTCAAAGGGCATTCACTTTTCTTTTGTCCCAGGGGCACTGGCTGTGGGGACCTGCTCACAGGTTTTACTGTCCTGTTTCCCTAGTATCCAGCATAGCATGCACTGTGTATCTGCACTCCCGGTGTGGATGACTAGGGCTGGTTGTTTAGCTGTCCTGGGCTCCCTCTCCCTCCCTGCTCCAACTCCTCTCCTCCCACCAGGAGCTGGGGTGAGGGGCGCAACCCGGGCTTGTATCTTACCCCCTTCACGAGGCGCTGGGTTCTTGCAGGTGTAGATGTTGTCTGGCTGTTGTCCTGTATCTTCTGGTCTCTTTTAGGAATAGATGTGATTGTTTTATTTTTAAAAGTATGTATGATTTTGGGAGGAGATTTCCGCTGCTCTACTCACACCGCTGTCTTGGCTCCTCCCTCCACTCTGTTCCTTTTATGGACCTATGTCCACCTCTTTGCACAAGCCAGCTGGTTAGGTGATAACAGGCTCTTTGGACAGCGGGATTTGGGGTGGCCTTATTGCAAGTACATAAAAGGCAGGAGGTCACATCTTTCCCTGTTCCCCCTGCTTGTTCTGCTCCATTCTGGGCTCCCAAGCAGAAGGACCCTGTTACGCCACCCTGGAAGGGGAAAGCACTCAGAGCCAGGTCTTAAGAAAGAAGAGAGGGGACCTGGAGAGAGAAGCCAGAGGCATGAGAGAGACACATCAGGCTTTGCAGGATAGGATGGATATTTGGAAGCATTAAGACTGCATTTCCCTAGACACAGGACTTGCGCGATAGATCCAGCACTGATATGGAATCCCAAAGCAAGAGAGTGACTCCCCCTTTTAATCATCCAAGTCCAGGAAAAGCCTCTTTTGCTGGCATGTCATTAATAAAGGCAGATCAGCCAGCAATGACATCTGGAAAGAACTTAAAAGCATTGGGTGGTTTTTTTTGTTTTTTTGTTTTTAATTTTTTTATTAAGGTATGATATACACTCTTATGAAGGTTTCACATGAAAAAACAATGTGGTTACTACATTTACTCATATTATCAAGTCCCCACCCATACCCCAATGCAGTCACTGTCCATCAGTGCAGCAAGATGCCACAGATCCACTATGTCCCTTCTCTGTGCTACAGTGTTCTCCCTGTGATCCCCCACACCATGTGTACTAAACATAATACCCCTCAATCCCCTTCTCCCTCCCTCCCCACCCACCCTTTCACACCCCTCCCCTTTGGTAACCACTAGTTCATTCTTGGAGTCTCTGATCTGCTACCATTTTGTTCCTTCAGTCTTGCTTCATTGTTATACTCCACAAATGAGGGAAATCATTTGGCATTTGTCTTTCTCTGCCTGGATTATTTCACTGAGCATAATGTCCTCCAGCTCCATCCATGTTGTTGCAAATGGTAGGATTTGTTTCTTTCTTATGGCTGAATAGTATTCCATTGTGTATATGTACCACATCTTCTTTATCCATTCATCTACAGATGGACACTTAGGTTGCTTCCATATCTTGGCTATTGTAAAAAGTGCTGCGATGAACATAGGGATGCATATGTCTTTTTGAATCTGAGAAGTTGTATTCTTTGGGTATATTCCAAGAAGTGGGATTCTGGGGTCAAATGCTATTTCTATTTTTAGTTTTTTGAGGAACCTCCATATTGCTTTCCACAATGGTTGAACTAGCTTACATTCCCACCAGCAGTGTAGGAGGGTTCTCCTTTCTCCACATCCTCACCAACATTTGTTTTTCTTAGTCTTTTTGATGCTGGCCATCCTTACTGGTATGAGGTGATATCTCATTGTAGTTTTAATTTGCATTTCCCTGATGATTAGTGATGTGGAGCATCTTTTCATGTGTCTGTTGGCCATCTGAATTTCTTCTTTGGAGAGCTGTCTCTTCATATCCTCTGCCCATTTGTTAATTGGGTTATTTGCTTTTTGGGTATTGAGGTGTGTAAGTTCTTTATATATTTTGGATGTTAACCCCTTGTCAGATATGTCATTTACAAATATATTCTCCCATACTGTAGGATGCCTTTTTGTTTTTTTTGATGATGTCCTTTGCCATACAAAACCTTTTTAGTTTGATGTAGTCCCATGAGTTCATTTTTGCTTTTGTTTCCCTTTCTCAGGAAGATGGGTTCAGGAAGAAGTTGCTCATGCATATATTCAGGAGATGTTTGCCTATGCTTTCTTCTATGAGTTTTATGGTTTCATGACTTACATTCAAGTCGTTAATCCATTTCAAGTTTACTTTTGTGGATGGGGTTAAACAAGAATCCAGTTTCTCAACTGCCCAGTTTTGTCAACACCAGCTGTTTAAGAGGCTGTCATTTCCCCATTGTATGTCCATGGCTCCTTTATCATATATTAATTCACCATATATGGTTGGGTGTATATCAGGGCCTTCTAGTCTGTTCCATTGGTCTATGGTTCTGTTCTTGTGCCAGTACCAAATTGTCTTGATTACTGTGGCTTTGTAGTAAAGCTTGAAGTTGGGGAGCGTAATTTCCCCTGAAAAGCATTGTTTTTATAGAAATTATTCTTATATGTCTATTTATGGCAGTTAATTCTGGTTTCCCCTTTGTGATAGTATTGTAAGGTTCTTTTTTAATGGGTTGATTTAAATAGAACAGTTAACTGATTTCAAAAGAACTATTAATAGAACATGTAGAATATGGACATGGCAAAAAAAATCACACAGGTGCCACAGAAATGTGTCAAGATGGGGAAGTGCTGGAATAGGGAGAAAGATATTAGCTCAGTCTAAGAAAGAGCTTTCGAATTACTGGAATTGTGCAAGGATAGAATAGGCCACGTACAGAGGGCCTGGACAACCTCTTTGGGTGTGGGTATAGTGGAGGGGGATTCAGGCATGAGATGGCCATGACAGGCTGTGATTGGCTGCCTCTCATTTGCCCTGGCTCCAGGCTTTCCTCCACTTCAGGCCCCAGGAGTGCGACCTGGACATCCCCGAGGGGCCTGTGGTGCAGTCCTGCAGCCTGGCCAGAGACCTCCAGCTCCAGGCCTTCCCCCAGTTTGTAAGTGGAACATCTCCTTTCCCTTCTCTTTGTAGGCAGGTGACAGAGCCGCTAAGAATGATAGGTAGAAGTCAGGCCCATTACATGGTTGTCACGTCCATAAGCACCCTGGCTAGTCAGCTGAGCAGAGGTTATTAGTGAGTTTTACAGATGAGAGTGGCCCTGCCTAATGCTTATTGAGGTTCACCACCTGCCCAGTGCTGCGCTAAGCCCTTTACATTCTTCACTTCATTCAATCCTCACAACACCGCTTATGCAGTACATTAATAGCCCCATTCTGCAGATGAGAGCTTGAGGCTCAGAAAGGGTGACCTCCCACATCATTCAGATGGTCAATGGCAAGCTAGAATCTGAGTACCAAAGACTATGCTTTTGACCACTACTTCATACAAAATTTTTTTCAAGATCTGTGCACAGTAATGATATTAAGAAGTGACATATGTTGAAAAACTTCCATGCCAGGCACTCAGCTAAACCCATTTTTCAGAAGAGTACATTGAGGCTCAGAAAGGTTAGATAACATGCTAGAGGTCCCAGTGAGTTGGTGGGGGTGGGATTGGAGCCCAGTCCTGCCTACTCCAAAACCCCTTCTTCCAGTGCCCATCCTCTGCCGCGCCCTCCCACGACTCCCAGGCTCACTTGTCCCCTGCAGAAGCAGCGGCTGGAAGGCCTAGTGTGGCAGCCACTGTGCAGCCTGGCCAAAGCCATGACTGGACCTCAGAACCTGATCAAGAAGCATCTAGACAAACTACTGGACTTTGAGAGGGTGGAAGAGAAGCTGCTGGAGGTGGGCAGCGTGACCTACAAAGAGGAGGTGGTGCAACACACGTTCCAGGCACTCAACTCCCTGCTGGTAGCTGAGCTCCCGCAGTTCAACCAGCTGGCCATGCAGTGGCTGGGCCACATCCTGTGCACACTGGTGGCCCTCCAGAGGGATCTTGCCGAGCAAGTGCTGCAGAGGGCAGAGGGCAGGTTGGCCCAGGTAAGGCCTCTGGGACTGGGGTGCCTCTGGAATAGCCAGGCGAGGCCTTATAGCCCCTTCAGCCAGCTGTTGGCAGAGGCTGGAATGGAGTGAGATTGGGCCTTCCAAACAGGCCATCAGGTGCTTGGGAGGAGGCCATCAGGGCCTTTTGGGTTTCTCTCATACCTGTTCTCCCTCCATTAATGGAGTCAGACCATGAAAACAAGGATAAAACTGGGACTCCAGGCCATTCTCAGGCTGTGGGATCAGAAGCAGAGGAACCTCTGCTGGTAAGTAGCAGACTCTGGGGCCAGTCCCTGGAGTATATTAGAAGTCAGTGACACAGACAGGGTCCATTCTGTAGAGTCAGAAGTAAATGTACCAAGCTGGGGTTCCTGCTACTGTTAATGCTTCCAGCAGCTGCCTCCTTGTGAGCCCTTACTGTGCACCTGTTTGGAGCACCTTCCAGGTATTACCTGACTTAATTCTCATAATACCTTACAGAGTAGTAGTATCTTCATTTCAAAAGAGGTACAGAGAGGTTAAGCAGCTTGCCCAAGGCCACACAGCCAATAGCAAGATTTGAACCCTGGCAGTTCAGCTCCGGAGCCTGGGTACCGACCATGATGCTCTACAGCCTGTAAGAGGAGCTGTCTGCTGGAAGCATAAATAGGTTGCAAAGACAAACCTCTAAATGCAAACTTTGATTTTGAAGACTGGGGTTGATGCAGGAAAGAATACACCATTGCTTTCAGATCTCCTTCTCTGATGTCAGTGCCAGAGATCAGTGGCCTGTGAGGCCAATCAGTGGAACAGTTTCAGCCCTCCTTTTACCCAATGCTATCTCCTGTGCTTTGTGTTTGCCAGCTCAGCCTTCCCCATCAGTCTGCTCCTCTAAAACTGACCCCCTCTCTACCCTTCCAGCCTATAGTCCCACTCTGTGCCTGTATCCCCCACTTCCAGCATACCTCTTCTGCGTGTGACCACAGTCCCTTTGCACAGACTCCTTCCTTGGCCTAGAATACCCCTCCCCATCATCCCTCATGCCTTTCATGGTGTCTGGCTCATGGTAAGAACTCCCCAAATATGTGACAAATGAAAAGTCTCTTTATGAAGCTCAAAATCTCCCTCTCCTGGCTGGGAGAGCCCACCACACACTTGCTCTACTCCAGCAGCCTTCAGGATATGCTTCTGCTAAGCACTGCTCACAACCCACTTTCTGCGGGGGTGATGCGTACAGTTGTTTCTCCTCATTGAGGAGGCTGAGGTTATGGGCATTTTTCTTCCTTTTGACCCTCACAGCATTTAGTACAGGGTTCTGTCTCGAATATTGTTTTTGAGTAGAATTAAGCCTGAACCATCTGCAAAAAGATGCATTTCTCTTTTCTGAAGGCAGAGGGTAAATCTGCTTAGATGACCTTTTTATTCTTCTCCCACCCTCTAGTTTTCTCTCCAGGGCCACCGACCCCCTTGTAATTAGACTGGCATGGGCAAGGCTGGGGAGTGTTATGGGATATCACTCCTAGGTCCCCTGGTGGAAATGCAAGAGATGCCTAACAGGGCCATGGTCTTAGGATAGAGGATGGAGTGTTACTCAGAACTGCTTGAGTTCCAAACCTGCTTAGGCATAAAGAAAAACGTGCTGACTTGTACCCCTAGGAGGCCCGGGAGGGGGTGGGGGGGTCAAGCCTCAGGCCCAGCTGCATTCAGTACAAATAATGTTGTCAGAGCTCCAGCATTCCCTCCACCTCCTAGCTCAGTTCCCTGTCTAGGTCGGTGGATTCTCAGGCAAGCCTTCTTCTGCAGGGTGGCAGAGATAGCTCCCAACAGCACCCAAGTGTTTGCCTTTACATCAGAATCTAAAGGAAGAGCAACCTTCTCCATCTCAGCCTTCATATAATAAATCTGATGGGAGGATTCTGACCAGCCTTGCTCAAGTGCATTGCCCAGTCATTTGGCCCATCACAGTGGATAGGAGAAGGGATGCTATGACTCCAGCCCTGTGGCCAGAGCACCTCATGGGCAGCACTGAAAGGGAGGGGCGCCCACAGAGGGGCGCTTCTGAGAAGCAGCAGGGCAGTGGGCAGACAAAACAACGGCTGACAAAGACAAAAAGACCCATCTTAACACATCTGGGCCTAGAGTGTGGGCTGCCAGGGTCCCCCTGTCCCCCTTCTCCCCAAGAAGGCTCTGTTGACAGTGTGTGTCCCCACCCAGCTGCCCCACCACCATGTCTCTGAGCCAGCCTTCAAGAAGCTGATGGAGGACGCACTAGGCCAGGCGGGTCAACAGCTTCGCTCCTTTCAAGAAAACTTTGAGACAGTGCTGCCACCTCCCAACACACAAGTAAGTGTCCCTCCTTCTCCAGCAGAGTCTGTCAAGTCCTTCACTTGCCAGTAGGGTGAGGCTCAGTCCTCTATTTACTTTCCCTTTGCTTTCCTCGGTGTTTCCTGTTACCTATGGAAACATTTTCCTGCTCTCTCTCTCTCTCTGAACTGGAGGGCTGGTACGGGATAGATTCCCACCCATACACACACATGTTCTTCATGGCCAGTAAGCATAGGAGCAGAACAGAACTCTGAGGTGGAGTAAGAAAACCCAGATATTTTAATATTAAGTGAAGTTAGACATAATAATGGGCAAGTGGCATTAAACTCAAAAACCTGGACCTTCAACTTTTTCAACATTCACCCTGTTTCCTCATTACCTTCTCAGTGAACCTGCTTCAGATACTAGCACTCAGGTTGAATAAAAAGTTTGAATAAGAAATCATTAAAAATTTTCTTTTTGCCGTGGAATTTTTAATTGTAAAAGATAGTATTTCAGCTGCATTATGGTTTACAAAACTTTGGCTGGCCAAATACTTTCTTTGGTAAAGAATTTTTCCCTAAAATATAAAGAAAAGATATCTTGTAGTCCAGTTGACGAATATACTCAAGTTATATATTTTTTTAAAAGAACTCAAGTAGCTGAAGAGAGAAGGGGCCCCCAGAGTATGACAAAACCTGGGTTAGAGAAAGCTAGAATGTTATATTCAGTCACATGTGAGATGTGAAGTGAGAGCTCAGAAGACAGCCCCAGGGTTCTCCACAGAGACAGAGAGACAAGTAAAAGAGCCCACACAGCTGGGCAGACACGAGGCCTTCACATCTGGCTGAGTGCAGACCAGCAAAGATCATCAGAGGTGTGTGTCTGCTCCAAGTGGGGCCTGCTCCTCCTCAAGCCATAGCTGTCCCCCATCCTCCCCCACCAGCAGAGACCACATGGGGGACCAGTGTGGGTCCTGAAACTTGGGGAAATCAGGGTGCAGAAATGCTAACAGAGCAGCCACTCAGTTGAGCCCTAGGAATCTGTCTCTTTCTACTTAAAATAACATTTTTCTTACTGGAAAAGCAATCCATGCAGATTGTAGGAAAAAAGAGAAAACAAAAAGATGAAACAGATGGGAATATCATACTTCCAGTGTGTATTACACATTGGTGGGAAGAGAACCCTCTTCCCCCATCCACAGCCACCTTCCCCCAACCCACCCACACACACACACACACCCACCCACACACACACACACACACACACACACACACACCTATCCCTACTATAAGTTCCTGACTTATTTGGCTAAGGGTATAGAATGGAAAGAAGCAAAGCAGCCACCCACAAGCGGTCCTACTGATATCTTTACCTGCCTCCTCCGACCCCCCCCCGGGGGTGCTGCAGTTCTCGCACAGGAGGGGCCTGCCAGCTTGAGAAGGAAGGTGAATGTTTGCTACACCACTGGCTTTTGTACTTGGGTTAATACTACCACTCTGAAAAAGGTACCCTGCTTCTACACTTCTGTTTAAGGGCCTGTTAAGATACACTGGGTTCTGGTTCTTGACTCAGTGAACTCGTTGGAGTGGAGTAATGGCAGAGTCTGCACCCACATGTCTCTGAAGGGCACCTTTGCCTACACCAAGCACCTCCCCACCCAGAAATAACCATGTAGAATTTGGTGAGTCCCTCCTTATCGATACTTTGGCTGGAAGCAGTGAATAAAAAGCCAAAGGCAATGCCAGGAGAATTTTGGATGAGCTGAAAGTGCCACTGACCCATCTCCTCAGCTGCCTGGCAATTTCTCCCAGGGCAATACTCTCTCCTGTGTTTCTGACACATTCACCAGGCTTACCATGCCTTGTAAATGGTAGGTGCTCAATAAATACTTCTGGGCAGAAACTCATGGAATAAAAGATACAGTCCCTTTGTTGACACGTGTTTGAGGATCTGCTGTTGGCTCTGTGCTGGCTTAAGATGCTCGATGAGCACATGGTACCCACATGGAGCTCACAGTCTTGTTCACTGGGGTCAAAAACCCTGTGCAAGGCATTTTGCTGTGGGATAATTCTGCTTGATGGTATGGGTGGAATTGAGGACTCAATCCTGGAGCTCTGAAATGGAGAAATTTCAGAACCTGAATTAGAATTGTAAAGAATACCAGAAGTTTAGACCTGGGAGGAATTTGTGAGATCAAATTAGAGGTTTCTTCTGAGATACCTTGGGATACAAATAGCGTGTGTTTTTCACCTAATCCAGCCATCTATTAGTGAGGGAACTGTTGCTCCGATGGAGATGGGCCCACCGGCAGCAGAGGCAGGCTGCCAGCAGTGGGCAGCATTGACACTCCAACAGGAGACCTTGTCTGTCTCTCTCCCTCTCCCCAGCCACTCCTTCCAGGGTCTGAACGCCAGGTGCAGTCTCTCCTGAGCAGATACGGCCCAGGAAAACTGTACCAGGTGACAAGCAGTACCAGCGGGGCTGGAACTCTGGACCTGACACTTCCACGGGGCCAAATCGTGGTCCTGCTTCAAAACAAGGACACGAAAGGCAACAGCAGCCGCTGGCTGGTGGACACCGGAGGTACCTAGGACCCCTTGGGCCCTTCTCCTCTCTCTGGGAAAACCACCCAACAGGAGTCAGTGGGGCGACATGGACCCTCTAGTGGGCCAAAGTCTGGCCATGCAAATCCAGGATGGGATGAGTGTAGGTGAAAATGCAGGGCCTGGGGCACAGCTGGCTGGGTGCAGTGCATGAAATGCCAAGAAGAGTTCAATTTTGTACTACAACATCGGTTATCAGGCACCTACTGTGTGCGGGGCACCGTGCAAGGGAAACAAGGACCCTGCCTTGGGTAGCTCACAGACCATTGGGGTAGACAGAGATGTCAGGAGAGAACTTCAGCATTGCCCTGAAAGATGGGGACAGGTGTCTGACCTCCTGAGCAAGCCAGGTGTTATCCTGTCTGCCCTGCGCTGGTCACGGCCTTGGGGTGTGCTACAGTGGTCGGGTGCAACCGGGCGGGAGGCAATGGGCATCGTGAACCCAGGAGGAGATGGACTAGTGGAGCTTCTTCCAAAGAGGGAAACATGACCCACGAGATGAAGGTCACACAGGATTATCAGGAGGGCACCTACAGACAGCTTTTCCTCCTTTAGGCAATTTATTAGAATTGTTAGTTAAGTATTTTTCTGTGTATTACAACAATTATAACTAGTACATAATCCCATGATTTTATTTGTATTACTGGATAGAACAAGACTAATTTTTTAAAAATTTTTTATTAAGGTATGATTGATATACACTCTTATGAAAGTTTCACATTAAAAAACAATGTGGTTACTACATTTACCCATATTATCAAGTCCCCACCCA